CACTATAAACATGTTTATGTGCATATATATATAGAGAGAGATAGACAGTTTTTTTGAGAGACAGGGCCTCCCAGGTTGGAGTACAGATATGATCATAGCTCACTGTAACCTTGAACTCCAAAGCTCAAGAGATCCTCCCACATCAGCCTCCCAAGAAGCTAGAACTACAGGCATGCACCATAAAACTTGGCTAATTATTTTATTTTTTGGAGAGATAGGGTCTCACTATATTGCTCAGGCTGGTGTCGAACTCCTAGCCTCAAGCACTCGTCCCACCTTGACCTCCCAAAGTCCTAGGATTAAAGGCATAAGCCACCACACCCAGCCAAACATATACTGCCATCTAATTTATTTCATTGTTCTAGAGCAGACGTTGGCAAACTTTTTCTATGAAGGACCAGACAGTAAATATTTTCGGCTTTGTATGCACATTTGGTCTCTGTTGTATGCTCTTTTTGTATGTGTTATAACAATTCTTTAAAAATGTAATAATCAGGCTGGGCATGGTGGCTCATGCCTATAATCCCAGCACTTTGGGAGGCCGAAGTGGGAGAACTGATTCAGCCCAGGAGCTCAAGACAAGTCTGGGCAACGTGACGAAACTCCATCTCTACTAAAAATACAAAAATTAGCTGGGTGTGGTGGCAGGCACCTGTAATCTCAACTACTCAGGAGGCTAAGCACAATCATCATTTGAACACAGGAGTTGGAGGTTGCAGTGAGCCACGATCATACCACTGCACTCCAGCCTGGGCAACAGAGTGAGATCCTGTCTTCAAAACAAAACAAAAACAACAAAAAACACCAAAAATAAAATAAAAAGAATATATGTATACATACACACACACATATATACACATATATATTTATTTATTTATAATGTAATAAGAAGGCCAGGCATGGTGGCTCACACCTATAATCCCAGCACTTTGAGAGGCTGAGGTGGGGGGATCACCTGAGGTCGGGAGTTCGAGACTAGCCGGGCCAACAGGGTCAAAACCCATCTCTACTAAAAATACAAAAATCAGCCAGGTGTGGTGGCATACACCTGTAATCCCAGGTCCTCAGGAGGCTGATGCATGAGAATCACTTGATACCATAAGACAGAGGTTGCAGTGAACTGGGATTGTGCCACTGTAGTCCAACTTGGGCAACAGAGTTAGACTGTTTCAAAAAAAAAAAGTAGGTCAGGCCTGGCGGCTCACGCCTATAATCCCAGCACTTTGAGAGGCTGAGGCAGGCAGATCATGAGGTCAGGAGTTCCAGACAAGTCTGGCCAACATAGTAAAACCCCTTCTCTACTAAAAAAATACAAAAAATTAGCTGGGTGTGGTGGTGTGCACCTGTAATCCTAGCTACTTGGGAGGCTGAGGCAGGAGAATCACATGAACCCAGGAGGCAGAGGTTGCAATAAGTCGAAATCATGCCATTGTACTCCAGCCTGGGGGACAGTGCGAGACTCCGTCTCAAAAAAAAAAGTACTAAGTAATCAGTTGCAGTGGCTCATGCCTGTAATCCCAACACTTTGGGAGGCCAGGGCAAGATGACAAGAAGGTTTGAGCCCAGGAATTTGAAACCAGCCTGGACAACATAGTGAGACCAGGTCTCTTAAAAAAAAAAAAAAAAAAAAAAAAAAAA